GACAATGCCAGCACTTCGGCTTAGAAATGGAGATGAGCACCAACCCCCAGAGTTGGACACGACTGGACTTAATGTAAGGGGGAAACCTTTATCTTTACCTAGTTAACTTTTTAAAGAAGGTTAGTGAAAAGTTTTGAGTTGCCACTCCCAGTTTATAAATTTTAAAATGTTCCTTGACATTCCTTCTTTAGCAGAAAATGTGGTACCAGAATCAAAATGGAAAGAACAGGGCTAGGTTTTTATAACACAAAATGGAAGATCAATCCAACAGATTTAGGCAAACTTTTTATCCTAACAGCATGTACTTGTGAAATGAAACAATCAAGTCAAGAAAGATTTGTGTAAGTAAACAAAAACATTTTAACCTTCAGAGATTCACTTGAAGGCTTATTTTAAAAGGCACCCAGGGATGGCTTTTTCTTTTTCCACTTTTCTTATGATTTCCTTTTTCGAGGTCAAATTTATGGATGTTTATTTAATATGCTTGGAAAAACTGTTGAGGCAGGCTTATCTGTTTTTCCTTACTCTCTTTCTTTACAGGTTCAGTAAGGGATTTTAGGGGCAGCTGCTGTTTAACCTGTTGTAGTCAGGCACACAATAATATCAATGAAAATAAAACCCCATTCCTTCCCAGTTTGTTTATTGTGCTGTTCACTACAGACTTGTTGCTTCAACCTGATACGAAACCCCTGTGTTTCTCCAACTCCCCACCATTCCCCCAATGCCAATGATGCTAAACAAAACTGGCAGATAGATGGAGAACAAGAAGGAAAAGGGAGCTGGGTGTGATTTAAAAGATTTTACTTCACTGTCAAAGGCAGTGGTTCTCAACATGTGGGCTGCGGCCCAGCAATGGACTGCAAGAACAAAACTCTGGACCACAAACCTCCTTCCTCTTTTATTGGTACTAATGTTAGAGAATGGTCCCTGGTCAAAGTGGTCCCTGGCCAAGTGGTCCCTGTTCAAATGGGCCCTAGTCAAGTGGGCACTGGTCAACGTGGGCCTTGATCAAATAGGCCCAGGTAAAAGTGGGCCCTGGTCAAGTGGGCCTTGGTCATAGTAGGCCCTGGCCATGTGAGCCCTGGTCATAATGGGCCCTGGTCAAAGTAGGCTCTGGTCAAAGTGGGCCCTGGTCAAGTGGGCCCTGGTCAAAGTGGGTCTTGGTCAAAGTGGGCCCAGGTCATAGTGGGCCTTGGTCATAGTGGGCCTTGGTCAAGTGGGCCCGGAACATGTGGGCCCTGGTCAAAACAGGCCCTGGTCAAAGTAGGCCATGGTCAAGTGGGCCTGATCATAGTGGGCCCTGATCAAAGTGGGCCCTGGTCAAAGTGGGCCCTGGTAAAGTTGGCTCTGGTCAAAGTGGGCTCTGGTCAAAGTGGACCCCGGTCAAGTGGACCCTGGTTAAAGTGGGTCTTGGTCAAAGTGGGCCCTGGTCATAGTGGGCCTTGGTAATAGTGGGCCTTGGTCAAGTGGGCCCTGGTCATGTGGGCCCAGGTCAAAATTGGCCCTGGTCAAAGTGGGTCTTGGTCAATGTGGGTCTTGGTCAAGTGGGCCCTGGTCAAAGTAGGCCTTGATCAAGTGGACCCCGGTCAAAGGGGCCCTGATCAAAGTGGGTCTTGGCCAAGTGGGCCCTGGTCAAAGTAGGCCTTGGTCAAGTAGGYCCTGGTCAAAGTGGACCTTGGTAAAGTGAGCCTTGGTCAAAGTAAGCCTTGACCAGGGCCCGCTTGACCAAGACCCACTTTGACAAAGACCCACCTTGACCAGGGCCCACTTGACCAAGACCCACTTTGACCAGGGCCCACTTGACCAAGGCCTACTTTGACCAGGGCCTACTTGACCAAGACCCACTTTGGTCAAGCGGGCCCTGGTCAAAGTGGGTCTTGGTCAAGTGGGCCCTGGTCAAAGTGGGCCTTGATCAAGTGGGCCCTGGTCAAAGTGGGTCTTGGTCAAAGTGGGTCTTGGTCAAGTGGGCCCTGGTCAAAGTGGGTCTTGGTCAAGTGGGACCTGGTCAAGGTGGGTCTTTGTCAAAGTGGGTCTTGGTCAAGCGGACCCTGGTCAAAGTGGGCCCTGGTCAAATTGGGCCTTGGTCAAGTGGGCCCTGGTCAAAGTGGGCCTTGGTAAAGTGGGCCCTTGGTCAAAGTGGGCCTTGGTAAAGTGGGCCTTGGTAAAGTGGGCCCTGGCCTTTTCTTTTTTTTTTTTTTTGTCATGTGTAGGGTTCGGCGAGTTAGGATTCAGCTTTCCTGCCACTGTGAGTGCATCTACATCAGGCATGGGTCTACTTGGCCCCTCCAGGTGTTTTGGACTTCAACTCCCACCATTCCTAAGAGCCTCAGGCCCCTTCCTTTTCCCCCTCAGCCACTTAAGCAGGAAAGAGAAAGAAAAGAAAAGGGACTGAGGCTGTTAGAAATGGTGGGAGTTGAAGTTCAAAACACCTGGAGGGTCCAAGCTGGCCCATGCCTGATCTACACTAGAATGAATGTAGTGTGACCCCTAAGTGCCATGGCTCAATGCCATGGAACTCTTGAGGTTATAGTTCTACAAGGTCTTTCACCAAGGTCTTTCGCCTTCTCTGCCTGAGTGTTATACTCCAATCCGCACCAAACTACACCTCCCGGGATTCCACAGCCATGGGAGTTTTAAAAAGTCGTGCCAGACTGCCTCAATTCCAGAGTGCAGATGCCCTGGGTGTCCTCTTGGCGCGAGAGGAGGGGATGGGCGCGCCTGGCAGCTCCCAGGGAGGCGCCTTTCCGGCTTCCTTGTTGCATTATCAGTTGCATTGACCCTTTCAGCGCCGGGGCCAAACCCAAGCGGGACCTGGAGGCGCTTTGCTGAGCCAGCCATTGCCGCCCTGCCTTTCCTCGCCCTCTCTTGGCAAGCCTCGGGGTCGGACCGTGCGCTTGCAGAAGGCCCTGGCCTCCCCCTCGCTGCGGAAAGGGAAAGGCGGGCTGCTCTGCTGCAGCCAGGGCTGCCTTTGCCTTTGCCTTTGCCCTCCCCAGGCCCAGCAAGGGCAAATGTCCACACGGCACGCACACGCACGCACTGGGAGGGGAAGGGAGGGGAGGGGGGCTGTTTATTAAACGGGGGGAAGGGAAAGCGAGGATCTTTGGAGCGAGGCTGGCGGAGTTTGTTTGCCTAGCAAAGAGACGCCTCTTTTCGAGTGCCAAAGCTTACCCGGAGAGGTGAGCGCAAACTCTCCACGCCACCCGGAAAGCGTGGCTTGGATCTCTGAGCGGCGCGCAACAAGGACTGGCTCTACTCTGCCCTAGAATGCTGTGGCATCGGCACTACGCTGCCTGTATATCATGCAGGTCCAAATGGCTGTATGTGGCATAGGTTAAGGCTCTCTTGTGTGTGTACAAACACCTCCAGGGATTAGAAAACATGTGTGCTTGCTTGGTGCGCCTTGGCGCTCTCCCTCCAAGGGTCCCCATTGCCATTGTGCAGGAGGAGGAGGAGGGGGCAGCAAAACACACCCCAGCATCATGCTCTCAGGCTGCCTTACAGCAAGCCTCTCTCGCTCTTTCCTCCGAGGGGGAAGAACTGGGCGACCATCTGGTGTGTTAGCTTGTGTGTCTTTCATACCCAAAGAGAAATGGTGGCAATCCCTACATAAGGAGGGGCGGAGGGGCTAGAAAGCGTACCCCAAAACTCTTCCAAAGCTTGGTGAATTACTGGGTTGCTGTGGGCTTTTCATATTCCTGAAGCATTCTCTCCTGACGTTCCGCCCACATCTATAGCAGGCATCCCCAGAATTTATGAGGTCTGTGGGAACTTAGCAAGTGAGATGTATTGTCGAAGGCTTCCATGGTCGCAATCGCAGGGTTATTGTGCGTTTTCCATGTTCCAGAAGCATTCTCTCCTGACGTTTCTCCCCCAAAACTCTTCCAAACCTTGGTGAATTACTGTGTTGCTGTGAGTTTTCTATGTTCCAGAAGCACTCTCTCCTGACGTTTCTCCCCCACCTATGGCAGGCATCCCCAGGGGTTGTGAGGTCTGTGGGAACTAAGCAAGTGAGATGTATTGTCGAAGGCTTTCATAGCCGGAATCACTGGGTTCTGTGAGTTTTCCAGGCTGTATGGCCATATTTCAGAAGCATTCTCTCCTGACCTTTCTCCTCCATCTATGCAGGCATCCCCAGAGGTTGTAAGGACACTCGATGGTTTCATGGCCGGAATCACTGGGTTGCTGTGAGTTTTCCGGGCTGTGTAGTCATGTTTCAGAAGCATTCTCTCCTGATGTTTCGCCTGTATTTATGGAAGGCATCCTCAGCGGTTGTGAGGACCTCACAGCCTCTGAGGGTGCCTTCCATAGATGCAGGAGAAACGTCAGGAGCGAATGCTTCTGGAACATGGCCATACAGCCCAGAAAACTCACAGCAACCTAAGGAAGTGAGGGTTATATATCCGTGGAATAATGTCCAGGGTGGGAGAGAGAAGTCTTGTCTGCTTGAGGCAAGTGTGAATGTTGCAATTGGCCATCTTGATTAGCATGTAATAGCCTTGCAGCTTCAAAGCCTGGCTGGTTGCTGCCTGGAGGAATCCTTTGTTGGGAGATGTTAGCTGGCCCTGACTGTTTCCTGTCTGGAATTCCCTTGTATTGTTTTTTTTTTTTGGGGGGGGGGGGTTAGTGTTGCTCTTTATTGACTGTCCTGATTTTAGAGTTCTTTAATACTGGCAGCCAGATTGTGTCCATTTCGATGGCCAATTCCCTCCAAAGCTTGGCGAGCCGGTCAGGGGTTTCTCCTCCCCTCCCCCCCTTAGACCTCCTCTCCCATGTTGTCAAGGTGGCTGTGGGTGCTGGGACCTTGGGTGGAAGGAGACCCACTTCCTGGCTGCCCTCTGTGCCCAAACCCGCTGGCGACGGCGCCCTCTCCCCGCCGCTTTCTGGCTCGGTGGCCTTCCCGTTCCGCGGGGGCTGCTCGTCCTCGCGGCTCGCTCCGGGTTTTCCTTCTGCTTCGCCTCTTCGGGCTTTCGCTCCTCCCTTTGGAAAGCCTATATTAGCCTCGGCCAAAGCAGGGGAAGGAACACAGCGCATTGTTGGCGAGGAGTGGAAAGCTACGGCTGGCAGCATCGGGCTGCGCGGTGGGAGCAGCAGCAGCAGCAGCAGCAGCAGCAGTTGGAATTGCAGTCTTGTGTATTATTGCTGATTTTTTTTCTTTTTGCGCCGTCCTAGCCTGTGCAAAGAAGAGGCGAAGGGGAAGAGTTTGCTCTATGCTGGGAGAGCTTTGCTGAGTGGGCTTTTTTCTCCCTCCCTTTCCCCTTCCCCTGCGGGATCGGTTCGGAGGAAAAGAAGAAAGAGAGGGCGCGAGGTGAGTGCGTTTGCCTGGCGAGGGAGGAGGAAGGGGAAGGGGAAGGTGCCCTTTTCCCGGCCGCGTTGCCGGAGAGGCCGCTTGGAGAGAGGGAGGGAGGGCGAGAGGGAAGGAGAGGGGCTGGGGGTCAGCGGAGGGTTTGCAGCCAGACCCTCTTCTAATCCCCTTAGGCTCCTCTCCCAAGCAATCCTTGCTAATTCCCAAAGTTGTTGACAAGGGGAAGGAAAGCGAGAAGGTCGGCCAGGCTGGTGGTGGCATCTGGACTTCTTATGCAAGGTTGTGTGATGACATCCTTCAGAGAATGTCTTTTGAATGGATCCGCCTCGCCAACGCCAAGGGGAGGGTTGGGAGGAAAAGGGGGTGTGTAGGGTGGACGTGGGCCGGGTAGCAGGGTGGTTTGGGCTCCGAGGGGTGTGTGCTGGCGCTTTCCTTCCCCTTTGCCTTGCACAGCCTGAAGAAAGAAAGCTCCAGCCTGCTTTATCCATGTCCAAAACATCACGCAGAGGGGAAGGGTGGGTGGATGTGGGTGGCGTGCTTGCAGGGCTGCCTCAGACCGCCTTCTTCGGAGACTCTGGGGCTCTTTGGGCGCTGGTGGCAAAACTGTTTATCTCTTTCTCTCCTCTCTCTCTGTAAACATTAACTTTGAAAGGCTGGCAATGGCAGACCACATGATGGCCATGAATCACGGGCGCTTCCCCGACGGGACCAATGGGATGCATCACCACCCGGCGCATCGAATGGGCATGGGCCAGTTCCCGACCCACCACCATCAGCAGCAGCAGCAGCATGCCTTCAGTGCCTTGATGAGCGACCACATACACTACGGTGGCGGGAATATGAGTGCAAACACTGGGATCCGGCAGCACACCATGGGGCCCGGGAATGTCAATGGTGGGCACCCGCCGGGCACCATGCCCCCCACGGCGAGGTTTAGCAATTCTCAGTTCATGGCTCCGACGGTGGCTCCCCAAGCTGGGCCCTTGACGGCCAGTATGCAGTTGCAAAAGCTGAACAATCAGTACTTCAGCCACCACCCCTACCCTCACAACCACTACATGCCGGACATGCACCCTGCCAGCCATCAGCTCAACGGAGCTAACCAGCATTTTAGGGACTGCAACCCGAAGCACAGCAACACCAGCAGCGGCACCAGTAGCAGCGCTGTGCCCTCCTCCGTGGCCCACGTCCCTGCAGCAATGCTGCCGCCCAATGTCATAGATACTGACTTCATAGACGAGGAAGTCCTTATGTCCTTAGTGGTGGAAATGGGCTTGGATCGTATCAAGGAGCTGCCGGAGCTCTGGTTGGGACAGAATGAGTTTGATTTCATGACAGACTTTGTTTGCAAACAGCAATCCAGCCGGGTGAGCTGCTGACTTCTCTCGCGGAAGGAAGCGGAACCGAAAACACAAAGAAGGACTTTTTTAATCTGTATGAATGAAAACATTCCCTCTCTCGAACACAGTATTTCAAAGGCTATTAGGAGTTTGACCACCAGTAAATGACAAAACATATAATTTCCCCCTTTTTTTAATTTGCTGTCACATTTTTTTAAACTTTGACACCCATGTCTTCCTTCCCTTCCCTAGGAATACTTTAAACTGATTGAGCCTCTAGAATTTCCCTTTTTTTTTCTCCTCCTTCCCCTTTCTGTGATCCGTTTTCTTCATCACTGGGAACTTACCAACGGTTTCAATTATTAGATAATATATTGGCAACATGCTTAAATCTTGTGGATTTTCTGTAGGCTATCATTTCAGAGGATTAGAACTACAGTCAAATTCCGAGTTTTAAAAAAAGGACAAAAATGCTTCATTAGTTGGTTGCATGAACTTCAGGGTAGATTCCTGCACAAATACTGCCCTCTTGCTTTGTTTTGAACTATGCATTGCCGTGATGCTAATTTATTTTTGAGTCTGCTAACCTGAAAGCTTAACAAATGTGGGCCAAACCCTTTCCTGATTAGGAAAAATAATAGTTACTTAAACTCTGCTGTTCTTGGAAATCCCCCCCCCCACCCCATCTGTACAGACAATATAGTGTGATTCAAATGGTCTCTTGATTGTTGGGAAAATACTTCACTGGTTCTTATTTTCTTTTGATTCTGGTCCTTTCTTCCTCATTATTTTTCTTCTGGTATTGTGCTTACATACATTTTTAGCATTTGGGGGAGAAATTACTGTGTTGAAAGCTTTTTAGAAATTTGACAGTATTTTTGTACAATTTTTTTAGGAGATAATTGTTAATTTATTTTTATTTTTATTTGTCAAGATCAATACAAAGTTAAGAAATCTTTATTTCCCCACCCACTAGATCTCAACTACCTGGATTTTTTTCCTGGTCTCTCCCCCCACCCACCCACCCACTCGCCCCACCTTCCACACACATCTTTAAATCCATATAACCCATTTGACTTGTTGAACTGTTGGGTTGTGTGAAACTTTCTGAAGGAAAATCTACTTGGCACCATTGTTTGCTCTATGTCACAATCAGTGCAGAAGGTAAAAAAGGATTTAAGCCTAATTATGACACCCAGTCTCATAAGTAACATTGTAACATGCCTGTGTGATTTTATCAAAAAGTGGAGAAATGCCAAGAGGCAACGACTTTGTGATTTGCCAACAACTTACTTGCTTTTAAATGTAGTTGTCCAGAATTATGATGCATAAAGTATTTATTCTATTTATCTATTAAACTTTAATTTTATAAATACTCTCATTTATCTTATCTATGGAAGAGTTGGTTCGTTCTGTACATGTATTTCTTGTTAGACGGGTTGTGTAAACACAAAAACACTGCAGAATTTATTGTCGAAGGCTTTCATGGCTGGAATCACTGGGTTGTTGTAGGTTTTTTCGGGCTGTATGGTCATGGTCTAGAGGCATTCTCTCCTGACGTTTCGCCTGCATCTATGGCAAGCATCCTCAGAGGTAGTGAGACCTCACTACCTCTGAGGATGCTTGCTATAGATGCAGGCGAAATGTCAGGAAAGAATGCCTCTAGACCATGACCATACAGCCCGAAAAAACCTACAACAACCCACTGCAGAATTTGTATCCCCGTTTGTTTCTTGTATACATCATAAAAAGGAGCTTAGCAATTGAAGAGACACAAATATAGATGGGGAATTGTACAGAATTGAAATCCACAGGATTTTATTTTGGACAGATGTGAGCAGAGAGTTGGGAAGCTGAACTCTGGTGTTGGTGGAAAATATTTTGTTTGGCAAAGTTGAACCAGTTTTATAGTTTAGGATGTGAGTGCTGATTCTGAAAATGGATAACATTCATCTTTTTGGCATGGGAAAGTGGGAAAATATTTATATTATAGCAGGAGCTTGGTTTATTTGATTTTGCTATCATTGGAGTGAAGTAGTGTTACTCAAATACTAACACGAGTAAAGATCAGATACTTGAATCTGATCAAATGACATCTCTCTCCCCATCTATATTCGTGTCTCTTTAATTTTGTGGTAGATAATTAGAAGTAGCCCTTTTTTTGACACCGCCTCCTCCTGGGAAAACATAATAGAAATACAAGACTTGTTCATGTTTTATTGGGAGATTATATCAAACTGGAAAAGGTTTGCTGGTTGAGACATTTAAAGTAACTTTCTCAAATCAGTTTATATCAAATTGGAAAAGGTGAGCTGATTGAGACATTTAAAGTAACTTTCTCAAATCAGTACTGTAGCAACTTCAAAATGCTCTACTCTCCTGGCTTCTATTTCTCCCATTTTCATGTTGTGGTTGGGCTAATCTATGATATCTAGGACCATTTATTCTAATCAGAGATGCCATAGCGTTGGGATAGATTACTACAGGGAGGAATGGATGAAGTAATAAACATCTCCCTTGGAGAAGAAAACTCAGATCTTCAGGCTGCATAACATTAGAAGTAGTTCAAATAATTACTAAGTGTACATCCACAAAGCAAAAGGAATGTGGAGCTGGCAAGGGCATGGATATTGGTATAAGCAATCATCAATATTTGAGCTGTACATGCTCAGTTCTGCACACTAATTGCATATGCTTTTAACAGCCTAACTTACCTTTCCATGTAATATTCTTGTAGAATATCATATAGTATGCACAGGAATACAAGTATGGCTTTGTTAAAATCTTGGGCCCATTTATTTTAAGACTGATTCAGTAGTGTTCATCTTTGCTAGTCAGAGGTCAAGTTTTGACCAGGATAGTTAGAGATGTTTGTCCTATGAAGCTCTGTGTGCCCAAAGATGGCTGACAGACTATAGTTCTGTAAATAACTATTAGATATTTGGTGCAGCGGGTTAAACCACTGATCTGCTGAACTTGCTGACTGAAGGGTTGGCAGTTCAAATCTGGGGAGAGGAGTGAGCGCCTGCTGTTAGCCACAGCTTCTGCCAATCTAGCAGTTTGAAAATGTGTAAATGTGAGTAGAGCAAGAGGTACCGCTTCTGCTCCATGCAGTCGTGCTGGACACATGACCTTGGAGATGTCTACAGACAATGCCAGCTCTTCAGCTTAGAAATGGAGATGAGCACCACCCCTCAGAGTTGGACACAATTAAACTTAATGTCAAGGGAAACCTCTACTATGTAATCAACTTTTTTTGTTCTTTTTCTCTTTAGATTCACATTTCCTATATTAGAAACTAAATATTCTGCACTAGGCTTTATGTTATAGTTCTCTGCTTCACAGTGAACCGAACAATTATAACATCGTTTTGGGGTCTTGCAACAGGCATTAACGCTTAGCAATAAGTCCTTTCATTGCATATTAGGTATTTTGGTGCCAAGCAAAAACCACATCTCGTTTACCTGCACCAAAGCTGCCTAACAAGCAGAAGTTGGTAGCTACTCTGGTATCAAGCACCCACAAATGCTGTAGTCAAATAGAATAAAAAATACCCACTTAATTTTGAAGGTTTATTAAACCTTCAAATGTAGGGCAGTTTCACACATTATGGAGCAAGAGACCTTGGTTTTGGGATAAGCAGCTGGCTTTTGATCTTCAAACATGCAGTCAATAACAAGATTTTGTCTCTTTCACATTTTTAAAGTACTTCTGCAGTGCAATCATATAGATATTTACTTGGAAATAAATCCCAATCAACTCGATGGACCACTTACCTCTTTGTGAGTGTGTTTAGGATGGCAACCTTAAAAGATCTTACTGTATTTAGTAGCTCTTAAGTTCTAGAGAAGATTAAACTATATTGAGGATTAGATTCCTCCAGTATCTGTTCTGTGGCTGGCTTCTGTAAGATCATAACATGCTTTATAACTTCATTGTACTTTTTTTTTATAAAAAGCAACGGTTAACAACAATATATACATTTTAAACTGATGATTTTAACTGAAGTTGGGAGAGGTGTCATCAAAGCTTAGATTCTGATCTTCTGGTGCTGAAAAATCAGTTCCAAGCTGCCTATATTAACTCCCAAGTGTTTTCTCTCTCTCCAAAATGCTCAAACACATATTTACATTTAGCCATAGTCTTTAATGTTAATGTGGGCAGTGACCTACTTTACTAGCTGTTGCCAGATTATTTTGCAAACTAGGCTGGGGTTGTGGTGGTGTCGCCGCGTTCCTGTCTAAGTTGCTTATAGCACAGGAAACTTGACCTCTGTACTTTGGCGCTTTTTCAAAAAGTTCTAATATGGTACATGAGCTCTACTGTTCTTTAAGCCCTGGCCATAAATAGACACAGCGCTTTATTTGCAATGGAGATCAACGATAAGCCACTGTGCACAGAAGCAGCACAAAAGACACTTGCCAGGGGGAAAAGAAGAGGTGCTGATTAATAAAGCAACGTCACTCTCTGGCGGCTGGAGGAAAGAATGACTGGTGATGGTCCCTTTTGCTGGCGCATTGCTCTGATGGCTTTGGCAAAGAGCAGTGAGCTTCTCACAGCTGTTTATGAGGTGCTCAGGGGAGGCACACTCAGCACAAGTTGACATCTATTGTGCAGTTTATAGTCTGAATGACTTTTACAACTGCAAAACCCTGCGTTTGCACATAAATTGATGTCAACAGTAAAGGCCAGATCCTTTAGAGCAAAATATTAATCCCCTAATCTGTTACGGGTGGTCAGTTTTGAAATGTAAACACTCTTCATTTTTTAATATATTAGGTGTTGGTGCCACCTTGTGGAATGGAGATCAAAAGGGAATGGCTTTCAAATTTCCCTCCCCCACCCTCTATGCACAATTGCCTTTGCTCATTGAAAGGAGCCCTGGGAGACCATTGATACAAGCCAAAGGTGTAATGGAGTAATTCTGCAGTGAAGCCAAATTAAGTCCTGTGGGGAAAAAATATAAACAATCCCAATATGGTGATGATGTTTTGTGTGCCTTCAAGTTGATTCCTGACTAATATAAAGCCTATTCTATGATTTTCTGGGCCAGATTTATCCAGAAGATATTTCTAATTGCCTTCATCTAAGGTTAAGAAAGTGTGATTTGTCCAAGGCCAGCTAGTGGATGCCCATTGCTTAGTGGTGTCCCAGGCTCA